CCCGCGGCAGCGGATCAGCCAGCCAAACAGCGGACCAGCGGATCAGCGGATCAGCGGATCAGCCAGCGGATCAGCGGAGCAGCCAGGGGACCAGCCCGCGGATCAGCGGATCAGCCATGCCGCGGAACAGCGGACCAGCGGATCAGCCAGCGGATCAGCGGATCAGCCAGCGGATCGGCGGATCACCGGATCAGCCAGCGGATCAGCGGATCAGCAGATCACCCCGCGGATCAGCGGATCAGGCAGCCCAGCGATCATAAGTCCATATGTTGGGGATATGTTGGCTATCTTGGGCCTATGTTAGGGATAATTATGTTAGGCAATTTATGTTGAAAAAATCTTCCGATACAACTTTTTACGATTTTCCTTCCCGCAAAGCAAAAACCATGGAAAAACCTACATTTTTTGACATCGCCAAGATGAAATTCTCGGCCGCCGAGGGGCCCAAAACCCTGTGTTTACCGTAAATTACAGCGACTTCAGTGACCCAGAGGTGGGGAGGAAGTGGGAAGGGGGTCCCCCCGTTTTTCGTGGGGGGCCAAGCGTCTACAACCTTCGGTTACCACCGAAGGCCCTCCGGGCACGCCACGGGCTTCCTGGCCGGCGCCCGGATTTTCCAGCCCCAAAATTGAAATTGCAAAACCCCTTTTGCCACTGGATTTCCACTTTGAGGGGCCAGAAGCCTCTCGATCGTGTCTTTTCCAGCAAGCGGCGGCGTGCATCTTGGTAGGACACATAGAAGGTTGCGAGATCTTTGTCCTCCTGGATGGTGTCCATCATGGCATTCTCACACTGCCATACCAACGATGCATCTTCGTCGCCCACGGCCATGGCTTCGAGGGTTTCTTCATCCCATTCTTCTTCGCAGTCCATGAGGTTCTCTTCTTGAGGTTCATCCACATGGTCAACTCCGAAGGTAAGGTGATCATATGTCTTCATGTTCTTGTCCTTCTTCTCGGTGGTGAACTCTTGAAAGAACGTGGAGCCCAACGTACGAATAGCTGCGTTCACCTTTTCAACTTCCAGTTCAGCTCCTGATCTTTCGGCTCCTGATTCCACCAGGACCCTTTTCTTGTCTTCTGGCGTCAATCGACTCCCCTGAAGGGTGATATAGGCCTGGACTTCCTTGAGGTTCTTCTTCATATGGAGCTCTGTCCGAACCACTTCTGTCCTTGCTAGATAGGAGTCGGAGTTCTCGTCCATCTTTTGCTGACAACGAAACAAGGCCTTCTCCTCCACGATGTCGAACTTCCGTTCGAGATTGACCTGCGCCAAACTGTCCTCCTACAGTGTTCACAATCTCCTCAATTCCCTCGCACGTTCCGGTGATCAGCCTTTTCTGCGAAGCTGAAGTTTGCCAAAGCCAGGTCCTTTTGTGAGGATGATGTGGGTGGCCAACTCGTTCAGACGGGTCTCCGGCCATACTGTTGTCAACTCGTCAACAATTCAATCTTTTGGAGTGGTCCCACATTTTGTCCGCTGCTGGATCAAAGGTATATCAAGGAGGCCAAGTTGCCTCCTGAGGTGCCAACGTCCAAGGTGGTAGCTCCTGCCGTTTCAGACCTGTCTTCAGGCATCGCCTTTCGCGCTCTTCAACAACTGGGCTCAATGTAGATGTCCCTGTGTCGATCGCCAGGTAGCTCCGCTACCAGTTAAATCTATGACCCGAAATTGGCAGGGAGACTTCCGAACAGGCGGAATCGACCGTCAAGCAACAAAGTGAATTCAACTGCCAATCCCCGACCAGCCACGCGCAAGCCCTGCTTGCTTTTTTCCACAGAGAACCGGGCTCCAGGGCTCGAAGTGAACATGTGACACGCGTGCTTTGCTTTCACACGCATGCATCTTCACACCTGCGCATCTCTCCTTTTCTCTCTCTCATTCTCTCTTCTCCTCTCATTCTCTCTCCTATCCCTTCCCTTTCCCTTTTCGTTGATAAAAATCTTTCTCTCAGGCTGGGGGCAGCGCCGGTGAGACGCCACGAAAAGCAACCTTTTCGCACTTTTTGCATTACATGTCACGTGCCAGTGGCTGAGTGAAACTTGCGATTCGGTGCGTCGGTGGCAACCCTTTCGCGCGAGACACGTGTCAAGCCTCAAAAACTGCGGGGGTATTGTGATTTCACTTTGTCCACGGCAGCCCTTAGGTAGTTAACTACAAGATGCCACGCGCAAGGGCATTTGGGGACAGGGACGCAAACATACACAAACTACAACATGGTAAGGTTCTGGAAGGACGTTAGGGCACGAGTTCTGCAAGTGAGGTCGAAGGCAAATTGGAAAATAAAACAAAAATAAAACAACGACGACCCAATTGTAGAGTGTGTTATTTTGTAGAGCCATTTAAGGTAGCCAGTTAAAGTACAACACAATGAAACTACGGAAAGGGAGATACCAGAAACGTCCCACCGCTACAAAATGGCAAACGGGGCAAACTATCAGAACCGGTGCTAATCAGCACTCGCTATACAACAGGCCATTCTTGGCAAGTTAACCATTTTTGAATGCATCGTGTTGCCGGTCTTGTGCGCATACCTTGTATATAAAAACGCAACGACAATCCTGCATCCCTCTGTCAGGTCCTCCTGCGCAACTTCCTCTATAAAACGCAAAGTTTCCTACAAGATGCAAACCGGTGAGCTCAAAACCACCCGCCTTAAATGGGAATGACCGCATTTGTCTAAAGAATCGCAAGTCTGCAAATCAGCATATTCTGGGCGCGCTCAAATTTCCCCTCTACAAAATGCCAAACCTGGAAACGCAGGGCACTTCGCGATAAAGAATGCCTTATTCCAGTGGTCAAGGCAGCAGGGCCACTTTCGCGTTCGTTCCGGGCTGTTGGAACGGCCTGCAATTCTTTTAGTCGCTGCTGGACTTGGGCAAGGAGGTCATCGCGCCGTCTGGAGCGTTGGCTAGGGGTAACCGGGATCAGTTGCGCCAGAGCGTCATCGGTGTTTCTCTTGGCGCTTCCCCAACCCTGTTGATAGACATCAGCTGCGCAGTCGGCTGTCTGGCGAAGTTGAGGTTTCTACTGTGACCTTCTTAATTCAAGCATGTCGCGGAACTGCTCCTGACACTTCAACCTAACCTGCTTCGCTCCGCCCCTTTGGGGACAGTCATGGTTGCCTTTGATGCGCTGGCCACTCACTCATTGCTGACCCGCATTGTGGGGTATCCACACCGTGCGCGCAAAGACTTGGAGCATTTCTTGCGGTGTTTCCACTTGCTGGCCCGAAGAAAGTGGCAGGCAGCCAAGCTACACCGGCCTTCCCACACTTGATGGAGCTGACATGGTTTTTGTTTCCTCTATCAGCCTCTTGGGCCCCGTTTTTGACAGCAATCTCAGCTTCGCTCCGTCGCTTTAGGAAATCTCTCAGCTGCGCGTCTCATTGCATGATCTAGGTATTGGGCTCCCTCACCATGTTCAGCAGGTGGCCACAAGAGTTGACTCCATGGCGCCGAACCTCTTGCCAGTGCAGCTGCAGGTTGGCCTCAAATTGCAAAACGGCTCAATTCTGTGCACTACACACCCTTTTAAGCAATTTTGGGCATTGAGGGCGCTTGCCTGGGTTCAGGGGTTATGTCCGCATTTAATTTGCTGGCCTTAGGTATTGAATTACGCCTCTCAACTGAGGGCCCGGGGCCCGTTTGCTTAGTTTGCTAAGTAGTAGCGCCACTCCTGGCATCTTGGACGGAGCACGGCAGGCGCCGGATTCCTTGGCTTTGAGGCATTTAGTTGGTATTTGTGAGGGGTGGATCAGCTGCTCCCCCACCTTCGGATAAAGACTGCTGTTCTTCCCAGGCTTCTTCTGCATTTTGACCACGATTGGATGGCAATGCAGGAAATGAACCTTTTCCGTGTTTGATGCGGCCTTGGAGAGGGGAGTCCTGGCATTGCTTGCACTGGAGTAGCACGCCGCAACCTCGGGGTTTTCTCTTAGATCTTCACCCCTCCGTCCGGGTTCGGCACAAGTGGGAGATTGCTGCGGGTGTACTTCCTGTTATGTGCCACCCCAGTCGCCCACCTTGAGGGCGTTAGTCCAACACAGCCTAGGTACACGCTAAAACAAGTACGCGGTATGCGGGTATAGATACTTGCGCCGCCCGCGCCGTGCCACATACTGTCAAATGCGGAATGAACAGAAGTCTGAGAGAACTCACACGCAGGGCCTGGCCTTTGCCATGTATTCTGACAAGTCTCTGCCTGCCAAGTCCAACCTCACAGAAACGCTTTGTTGACGGCGTGTCAACCAGAACTTGTGGCCTCTGAATAGCATGGGGAAGAGCAAAGCCTCCCAATGACAGCAATGGAAACGTCCGGCATCATCACACAAACAGGCTCCACTTGAAGCAAATGCTGCGCCTTCGTAAACTGGCACTGTGTGCGTAACTCCATCGCCAGAATCCACCACTGTCCCAGTTGTACGTCCGCATGAGTACAAAGACATTACTGCCTGGAAGTTTCACTAAAGGTTTGCTTGAAAGAAAGTACAATTAACTCATGAAATCTGCAGTGTTCAGAAAATTTCCTCTCCAAAACCAAAGAAATTGTACTGTGGCGGGCCAGGCAACAAATCATGAAACGACTTTCTTTGCGGCGTGTACTGATCTTTCAAAAGGCCTTTGTGGATGACGCGAAGGGAAAGGTGAAGGCGAGGTCCGGGGCAGCCACTGTGGGCCCGAAGCCACTTTGGAAGCTTGGCGGTGCCTTTAACAACTATCAACAACTAAATGGTGTATATTCCTGGGTCTTGGTGACATCTCAAATCTCCGTTGATCCAGATGATGACAGAGTTAGAAAACTGAGTCAGGAAACCAAGGAGCAAAGTCAGGAAACCACGTACGAGTCAGGAATCCGAGCCCGGAAACAGGAATAGTGGAGTCAGGAAACTCATCAGGAGTCCAAAGCGGTGGAGGAAACCTTTGGGTCGAAGTAAACTAGAGTGTGGGAACTTTGCAAATTTGAAACGATGAGTCTGAGGAGGAGAGGGGAGTGAGTCAGGAAACTTCGACGGGAACGAGTCAGGAAACTTGACTGTAAACAAGCAGCAGGTGAGGGAGTGCGGAAAGATTGAAATTTGGAAAAGTATGAATCAGTCGGAGCAGAAGGCTTTTAGTGAGTCAAGTAACATGGGAAACAAAGCAGGAAAATAAGTGTAGAACTGAAAGAAACCGCGATGGAACGCGAAACGCGCGCCCGTTTTCCTAACGCGGACTCGGGCCACTGTCGGGCGTCCATGGAAGTGAGAAAATCTCTAACACTCCACCTTGAACTTGCCGCGTGCTGTAGCTGCAAGTTCACCTTTCGAAGTACAACCGAACGTATCGGTCGAAGTCTTCGTCCCACTCGCCCTTGCAAAAGGTGCCATAATCATGGCGATCATCCAACCCGCAAGGACAATGTGGTCGAATGCCATCTGGGGGTAGGACCGGCTGTAGGTCGAAGCCAATCTGGTCCTCACAAACTCCTTCAGCTGGTGAAAAGTCCAGCTTGGAGTACTCGGCGAGCTCGCTGCCCTTCTTCCACCTTCATGTACTTGAAGAGGTTCTCGAAGTCCCACCAGTCAGCATCGACTGGCGGAGGGTCCAGCACAGACCGGTTGTTTGGGTCTTCTGCTGCTTCATTGTATCCTTCACGACGTGGTGGATCATCCACATCCATGTAGGCCGGTGGTGCTGCATCATTCTCAAAGCTGGATCCTTCCGCTCTCAAACTTTGGCTTGTAGTACCTGTGGTACCCGCTGACTGCATTGCCCATGATGTACTCTTCGCCACCATCGGCGTCTTCTTCGCTCTGCAGCACTCGGTAGTCTGCCAAAATGCCAGCCATGGGGTCCCAATCAGTGATGATGTGACCTGCTGTTCTTTGTTGTAGATCTTCCATCTCTTTGTCCGGCTCACTTTCATCTTCTTCTTGCGCTTCTGGTTCTGCAGGTTGCTCCACCTGTGGTGCATGCTCCACCTCAGGTGCATGCTCTTCTTGCTCTCTCTCACGCAGCCCTTCTTCTGGTTGATCTTCTTCGTCTGACCGCTGAAGACCTGGAGGTAGGTTTCTACCTCGTCTCACAAGGTTCCATTCTCCACGATTTGCTGCAAGTCTTGCCCTCATGATCATGCCAATCTCTGCAAATTCATCTTGTTGCCTTTGAAACTCCATTGTCTCTTCTTGCCTCAGAAACCGGAGGAATGTCCTGAGGTAAACCGAAAGCTTCACTCGGTACCTGTAGCCCACATACATGCCATAGAGGAACACAAAGGTGGTATAGACACTCAAGTGTAGGGCTCGGCTGGTACCTTCTCGTCAATCACCTCTGTCATTGGCTCTCCTCCAGCTCTATGTTGCAGCAAAAGCAATGTCACTGCTCTCACCACATTTGTGGGAATCTTCAGTCCCCAACTGCTCTTCTCTTCAACCACCGTTTGAATCATCTGCTTCTTCACTTCTTGCATTTGCTTGGCCAACATCTTCTTCTCAAGCTCTTGGCTGAAGGTCTCCTCACCGACTTTGGAAAAGGTTTCCTCTTTGCCTTCTGCGTTCATCTCAGTGATGCCGATGAGGTACATCAAGAATTCACGACGCTGCCTTGACAGCCTCTTGGTTCCAATGTCAGAGACATTGAGGAGAGTAGGAATTGCCTCCATGACCATTGTCTCTTTCTTCACCTCAAGTTGCATCCAGAGGTACTTGCTGTCGATATGTTTCAGTCGGCCCACGCCAAGTCGTTCTGTGAAGGCACGGCATGAGCTGCTATCCGTGATGGCTTTGATCATCACCATCCTGCGGCTCAAAAACTGCCACAAGTCCTTGACCTGGAAAGCTTCAGCCACTCCTCCAGCCGAGGCTAAGAGCTCAGCCTCGCAGGAACTCAAAGCGATGGACTTCTGTGAACGTGACCAGCTTGTAATCAGGCATCCATTCAGAAACATGAAGACCGCGTAATACACTTTTTTTGTGTTCCGGCAACCGGCGCCGGCAACCGGCCGGCAACCGGCGCCGGCACCGGCAACCGGCACCGGCAACCGGCCGGCAACCGGCACCGGCCACAGTGTACCGGAACAGCGCGCCGGGAATCGGCAACAGGGCCGCGGTAAATGTCAACTCGCCTTGAGTAATCGGACACGGCTGCGCAGCAGCGATCATACCTTTGGACTGTCGTGTGATAGAAAGAGCAAACGCATATGTACAATTAAGACTCAACAAAGAAACAGAAAAGATATAAATAGATACCCAAAGAAAGATAGATAAAGATAGACAGATTAGATTACAATAGATTAAGTGAGATAATGCCAGGTTAGGTTAGATTAGATACGGTTTGATAGTTAGATAGGTAGGTAGGAAGGTAGATAGATAGATAGGTAGATAGATAGATAGATTAGAAAGATTAGATAGATGAAAAAGATTAGATTAGATTAGATTAGATTAGATAGATAGATAGAAAGATAGATAGAAAGATAGAAAGATAGATAGACAGATAGATAGATTAGATAGTTTGATTGATTGATTGATTGATTGATTGGTTGATAGTTAGATAGATAGATAGATAGACAGAGAGATAGATAAATAGACAAATAGACAGATAGATAGATAGACAGAGATAGATAGATTAGATAGATAAACAGATAGATAGATAGATAGATAGGTAGATAGATAGATAGATAGGTAGATAGATAGATAGGTAGATAGATAGATAGATAGAGCGAGAGAGAGGTAGATATAGATAGATAGATAGATAGATAGATAGATAGAGAGAGGTAGATAGATAGATAGATAGCTAGATAGATAGATAGATAGACAGACAGACAGAGAGATAGATAGATTAGATTAGATTAGATTAGATGAGATTAGGTTAGCTTAGATTAGACTAGATTAGATTAGATAGATAGATAGATACATAGATAGATAAGATAGATTAGATCAGATTAGATTAGATAAATAGACAGATAGATAGATAGGTAGATATATCGTTGATTGCATGGTTGATTGATTGATAGACAGACAGATAGGGCAAGCAGACAGAGACAGACAGACGGACACCGGCCACAGGCCACCGGCGCAGGCCGACCGGACAGCAAAGGGGCATTGCCCGGCCACCGGCACCGGTGCCGGCCACCCGCGCAGCCACCGGCGCCCGCCGCCTGCCACGGTGGACCGGACCAGCGCACAGTTATTCCGGCGGACACAGACAGACGGACACCGGTCACTGGCACCGGCCACCGGCTCCGGCACCGGCCACCGTCTCCGGCACCGGCGCGGGCAGCGGCTGCCGGGCAACGAACGGTGACAGCCACCGGCCACCGGCCACCGGCGCCGGCGCCGGCAGCGGCTGCCGGGCAGCGGTGCCAGCCACCGGCCACCGTCACCGGCATCCGGCACCGGCAGCGGCTGCCGGGCAGCAGTGCCAGCCACCGGCCACCGGCATCCGGCACCGGCAACGACAAAAAAAGTATATACTCGAAGACCGAGCTGACACTATGCCTCCTTTTAGCTGCACTGCTCTTGTCACCAGCCCAATCCGAATCCGAGAACACCTCCAGGAAGTCTTTCTCTTCATCTTCCTCCACCTGGCCCACGATCTCTGCCTTCTTGCTGCGAAACTTCGAGTATGGTAGCAGCAAGCCATAGTTCTCAGTTCTCTTGAGGTAGAGGATCACGCGCTTGACTTCCAGTTCTGCTCTCTTGGTCGGCTTGGCCATAAACTGGCTGAGGTTCCGCACAGCATGCTGGATATCAACCCTGTCTTGGCTGATAAAGAGCAGGGTTCCTAAGGCAGAGCGAAACTTGAATTGCTCGTCTCCTTCAAGCATTCCAAATTTTCTTGCGCGCTCTCAGGCGTTGCTTTGCCTGCCCTTCTCTCAAGCTGGTACAGCTCCATCAAGCTTGGGATGTACTTCTCATGGGGCATCACCACCAGACCTTCTTTTGCAAAGAAGTGGCGTTTCTTCAAACACCTCACTGCCTCCTCCTCCAACTGCCCATCAACTGGGAGCACGCCAGACTCGCTCAGCACAAACTTCTCCTTCATCACCTGCGGGAGCCATTGCAAGTGCTCCACCTGTCCAGCAATCATCATGTCATCGACATGACAAACAGCTGCAAGCTCACGTTGTTCATGTCGGAAGAGTGCAGGGAGGCTCAGGTGATTTCGAAATCCCCACTCCAACAGATGGTCGGTCAAGAACTCAAACCACTTTGCTGCTGCATCTCGTTGGCCTGGCAGACATTTCGACAGTTTCCAAAACCGTCGTTCTTCTGGAGCTAGGGGTAGCAGTTCTTCAGGTCGCCACCATGGAGGTTGCTCCACCAGTACCAACCTGGTTTGACTGACAAGTAGAAAGGCATCTTTGATGTCAGCAAACATGATCTTCCAACCCATCAGAACATGAGTTGACAAAAGGAGTCTGGTTGCACTCAAGGATGAGGTCGGTGCAAATGTTTTGGAGCTTGAGGCATCT